TAAATACAATGTATCTATATAGATATGAAAAATCATTCAAATGTGTTAACTTTTGAAAATTGACTTGGAGGTAGGTGGGAGAACAATACTATCGTTCGCAGTTCTTTAAGAGTAAAATTTGTATTTAAGTGTTAAAGAAATTCATTTTGTATATTTAAATTACATGTGATTTTTAAATTAATGCTAAAGCTGTTTTTTAAAAGTTTGCAAAGTTACGTTGGTTGTGACGTAAGAGAGGTAATTCTTGTTACTTAGAACATCACCAATCAACACATTTTGTTTTGAAAGGCAGTGGGCGTTGGTTTGACTGTAAGAAAACCAAAATTTTCTCCTTATGCCATGTTTAAATATGTATTGTAAGCTTAAATTGAAAATATAAACCTAACAGGTAAAGTACAGGGGCGGATCCAGATTTTTTTCAACTGTAACAAATGTTAGTTTCGTAATTTTTTGACAAAAAAAATATGCCCAGTGCCTTGAAATTCCTTTTTCATGGGGGGAGGGGGAGGGAATGAAGAACCAATTTTTTGTTCTAACTTTCCTTACCGTTTTTTGTGACGTCAATGTTTCTTGGGGGGGGGGGGGTCTCAAAGGTAAGATTTTCATTACTTAAACATAGAAATTTAATAGATCTGAAAATTCCAGGGGTAACGCTTCGTCGCCTCTCTAGATCCGATAATGCAGTAGCAGGTTTGTTTTTCAGTTCGATCCACACTCACTAAAATGGTGTAGAGCTTTTTAAAAGACCTTCAAATATTTATCCTCAAATGTAATGTTTTCAAAAATACTTGTAATACCAGTACTCTGTTTAATGGCAAAATGCTTTATCATCATCACTATTCACCGTTACTGGCATTAGACTTACTATATGAAGTATATTACTTTTGTCATGAAACATCTTTTACCTCCTTTTCGACAATCGGAAACAAAGGTATATTTCTCTAAATTTTAAAAATTGTGACTTCTATTCTTTGCAATAGTAAAAAAAATTAAAAATGATTTGCATTTTTTCATTTTACTAGTATTTCATTAATTTTTTTTTTTTTTTTTTTGGTTTAGATATAATGATGTAATATTTATATTTCCAATTATTCACCCTTAAAATTCTGTAGATTAGAAAACAGTTCATTTTCTTATGAACTACCATGGATATCCCTATTGTTACCGTGCTTGACATAAAAACTATAGTGCAAACTGTTTTGACCGTTGAGTAGCATAATTTTACGGCAACTAATCAGATGAATAATGTAAATATAAGAAAGGAATTTAGCTTTTAAAAATTCTTAAGGTACATGAACTACAATGCTTCACACCAGCATATTTATGTCCTCATCAATTTTCATTAATTAAATTCTTTAAAACATCACACTGCTGTTTGATCTCGTCCTTGGCACCCCTACTAATGTGTTCGGAACATTTTATTTTTCGGTGTTCTGCAAATTTTAAAATCTGAGGAGTTCCCAGTAGCTCTCACAGTAGCTCTGGCGAGATCTAGCGAGACTACAACGAGATAAGGTAAATTATTCACGGAAATGTGTGTAGGAAGTGACTAGCACGTGGAGACATGGTAAACAGAAAAGTTATCTTGCGTTTCATTTTTCACCACTGAATAATATCTGTAGAAATGTACTTCAATCTCTCTTGAATTCATTCAAACGTCAAGTATTCTCCATGACATTGTTTTCTCCATATATGTATCTTAAATTTTCTTTTTGGACAAACATGCTTGCATGGGAACTTGGGCTATATTTTTTGGCGTTAGATTAGCAAATGGGTCCCCGGCTTAATCTGAGTGAGTTGAATTGCTACAGGAATTTTACGCTTGAAAAAAAAATAAGGCGATTGGAAAAGCACATAGAACATTTTTTCCCATGCATTTCCATGCTGTCCATTATTATTCTATAATTTCCATGCTCATAATTACAAACATTTCATTTGTAACATGTTAAATAAACGTGGAATTCTAGGTTTCTCAAAGTCATACTGTAGGCGATTTTTGTCTGTATTCCTTTGTTGTACTATCGGTGAATACAATTGTCAGGTGGGTTCCCTGACCAAAAAACACAGATGATCACGGGTATTGAAATATGAAGAAAAAAACTTTGTTGTCCATTTAACTGTTTAAGTGCCTAAGGGATGCTGCTCGTGTTCCTTAACCTTGAAGCGCTAGTGTTCTGAACGTGGCACAGACTACATTTTTTTTAATATGCATTTCCTAGTAAACTACGTAACAATTTACAAACGCCTGTGGCATCTTTCATAGTTTCTACTCTTTGTATTTTTTCATATAAACAGTTTCTTTTTATTTGTTTTTGTTTGTTTTGTTCTTTTTTTTTTTTGTTTTTTGTTTTTTTGTTTTTTGTTTTGTTTGTTTGTTGTTGTTTTTTTTTTGTCTTTTGTTTCTTTTTTTGTTTTGTTTTGTTTTTGTTTTTTGCAATCCATGTAATTTCGATCGTAGATTGACCCACGTATTCGAAGTAAAATGTAAACACATAGGTGTCAAGTTAACGTTGCTATTCACTCAGTGATTGGTCCATTGTCGGTGGTAAGATATCCTCTGTGCGCATTAATAACAAAAGCCATGTAAGGTAAACAAAGGTTTGTCATATACATTTTTCTACCAGCGTATCGGGCGATTTTGGAAAAGTTAACTCTACTAAGCTCCAATTTTCGCCGTAAATTATCACAAAAGCGAAGATTAATTAAGTAGATTGTGATTTTTTTTAATATCCCACCCATTTCTGTTTAAAATCTTGAAAATATATCAGAAAGTTTTTAAAAGAAACAGATTATAGCAATTTCCTGTTTACTGCCAATTTTATTTATAAAACAGGTTCTACCCTATAACCTTTGAGTGGGTTAACCTACATCACGTGCCTTGAATTTAAATCACAATAACATTAGTAGGGGTGTTTGGTATCATTCTCGGTCCTTGGCCGAAATCAAAACATCATGGTCACAGGCAGTGTATATTCAAATACGAAAGTCCTATCTTCGCTCATTCAAAAGTTATGACCATTGTTAAAGTTTCTGTGACAGACAGACGAATGAGACTTAATGTCAACGCACTTTCTCGAACGCTGGGAACAATGATATCAAAATTCCGACGGAAAAAATATTGGAAAAAAAAACTGAAAAACGACCTTGCATTTGTTGGTTTAACAGAAAACAACGCTTAACGTAACGTCCATTTCAGATAATATTACGAAATCAAGATATTAATATTAATCAGCAAATGAGGAATTGTTTTCTTAATATGGAGGATCTTTTGGTGAGAAAAATATGGCATACATTAAAAATACTTCTTCAGTAATTTTCATTATCAAAAATTGACTGCTGGTGATACAAAGTGTAAATGTAATGGGCCTTTACCCAAAATCCCACTGATCTTTTTATCAACTTACAATTAAGTGTGTATATACAATTATATATATATATATATATATATATATATATATATATATATATATATATATATATATATATATATATAATGTTATATGTATGGTTATGCAGTATATCTTAATAACGGTTTTCTGAGAATGAATGTAAGCATAAGATATGAACTTTCAAAACGTTTAATTGATCATGACTCGCATTAATGTCTGTTATCGACATCTAAATGTTTGTTTCTCATATTAAATGCATAGGTTCGGAATTATTATTTTCATGCTTTTAAATGAAAATAGCCAAGACATGGTACATGATTTTGTTGAATATATATTATCTGTGAAAATCGATGATTCATCGCAAACAACCGTTATTGAGAAATTTCTATTACATTTCAGCAATTTCGTAAAAACTTTGCTCAGTCATTATTTTAAGCTTGAAAACCCTTCTTGATTTTCCAGATGGAATAGATAATTGCATTTTAAACGCAATATCAGTCTTCTTACACCACAATCAAGATATCATTGTCCCTTTGCCATCGAAACATGGTTTTGTGTTTTTCCATGAGAGACTCGGTAACCATTTTCGTCGTCAGGGCCATCATCTTTAATCTCCTCTCTCTTTCCAATTTAATCTCGTATACTAAACGAATAAAAGTCTTCACTGTTGTAAGACCTTTCAACCACATTGCAGGTCTCGCACTGTGTCGTATAGTGTGTATCGAAAGCTGAGATTTCCCCGCCTACACATGTAAAGTTTTTTTTTTCAGAAATACATTTTTTCTCAATACAGATGAATGCAACCCATCATAACTCAGAGGTGTTTTTCAAAAAGACGTTATATAGCCTTTCAAAAAACGCGTCACTACATCTATCAAAAAAGCATTATTACGCCTTTGAAAAAAGGTGCTTTTTGAAAAACTGTTGAACTTGGTCATTCTTTGCAAAATATTTCAATTAGGGTACATCATTTTTCCAGATAACTTCTCCTACAGATTTCAAGATAGGAACTCGGGTGACCTATTGCTATTTTCATGTGTCGTCCTGTTAATATTTGAACATCTTGAACTGCTGAACAAATTTCATCCAATTTTGGCGTAAAGCATCTAAGGGTAAAGGGAAACAAAATTTTACCTACCTCTTGCAATTAGTCATTTCTTTGCAAAATATTGCATATATTTACATTTGTCCGGAAAACTCCACCCTCAGTTTTCAAGTTAAGAAGTTTTTAATTTTGCACATTAATTGTACATATATCAGAGATGTGCATGGTACTTGGGTTTTGATTTTTGGTCATTTTTTGCCATTTGTTGAACTTGGTCATTTCTGTGCAAAATATCCTAATAGGGTACATTGATATTGATTTTGTTGAGATGTCGCCTCCTAATATAGCAGAATAGAAAGTTTTTATAATCGAAGAATGTTCACATTTACAAGAGTTATTTCCCTTCCGGGGTCAATCTAGGGTCAACCGACATAAGATGCTGTTTTCCCTCATAACATTGCCAATTTTATGGGTCAGTATCTGATAAATAAAACCCAGTTTGCTGTCACACTGACAGCCTTCCACTTGTTAATTTTTATACATATATAATGTATATAAATACAGTGTTGAAGATAAATACATGATTCATTGAAAAAAAAAACATATACATATACACTGTACATGAATAAAAATATGCACATAGACCTTAAAAGTGTGCGATAGTCTATAATCAACTCTTTGCTCCGTAAGTCAGTGGTCCTCAGTTTAAACGGCAGTGTACATTGTTTCCGTATAGGTACCGTACACATGCGTAAGACGTCTTCCAGGGTCACCGGATATGCGTCGCCAAATGTTCAGTAGACCTGTATCATCAAAAGAAAAAAAAATCAACAACTCCTTTCTGAGATGGTTCTTGCTCAATTACATTTTCAAGATTGAAAGGAGGATATGGAGAGTAGGAGATTTTTAGTCACATGCATGATATATATTAGGTTTGTATGCGCTGATGTCCTATAAAGCTATAGTCACACATACAATGTAACTGTGGTGCAACCTAAATCTCGTTTTATTTATATATTTATTTTTTTTTTTTAACTTTTTTTGAGGATTGACCGGTGGCTATTAAGCGAATCCTCGGTGAAAAAAATAAGACCTTGCTGGTAACTGATACAAATTTTTCGCTGACCAAAACCAGATACATCTGACGTATGGATCTCCCTTCCCTGCTTTATTGTTGTGGTGTTTGTGGGAATAGGGTGAAAAAAATTTTTATTACTTTTTGTTTGTTGTTGGATTTTTTTTTTTTTTGTTTTGTTTTAACTTTTTAAAAAATATTTTTTCAAAGATCTCGTCTGTTATCTTGTACAACCGAATATTTCAACATATTTGTAGTTTATTCTATTCCTTGTAACAAATTCACTGTAATGTTTCGAGATCTTGCTATGTTTTTTTAAATTAAAAAAAAAATCACATTTATTGGCGTTATGAAAAATAAAAAGAGAAATAACGAATTTATAGTGTTTGTCCCATTTTTTTTCTCACAAAAATGCAAAGAAGGATCTGGTACCTGTATTCAAAAAGTAATGACCGTCACTGACCTACATGTCAATCGATATAACGCAAGTAAGGAATGTTCCTTCCCCAAGCGCTCTGCACTTTGGAGTGGGTCTTTCGGATAAGATCTTAAAAATAACCGAGGCTCCGTATCATGGCAGGCGTTGGCACGTTAAAGAGTGGCCCTGAGTACCAAGTACTGGTCTAAATTAAAGCCCATCACCGGCATATAGTGACGTATCAATATGTGTGAAAAATTCACGAATGGGACGGAAAACAACATACAGTCAGTCAATCCATAAATCAATCGAAAAGTAATGTTGATACACATGCTTGTCGGAATCAGATGCAGTCAATGACGTTGAAAGTGCTTTATTTGCAATACAATGACTTGAGTGTAAATACATGTACATGAAACAAATATTGTATCTTTCATTTATACTTTTTGCAACCTCTAGATTTTGACAACCAATCAACATCAAACCATATACCAGTGGCTATTGATCATCGCCTAGTCAACAATCTATCAGAAATAAGTCACTACTAGATGCAAAATTTTAAAACGTCCGATATCACGTCTTTCATAGCCGCAATTCATGTTAAACCGATTATTAGCAATATAATTTGTTCCTATTCCTAGCGCACTAAAAACCTTGTAATAAATTCACTGTACATAATGTTTTGAGATCTTGCTATCCTCTTTGCAATACGGAGTTAGATTATTACGAAATGCATCATGGTCATATTGTGTGTGTGACAGGCAAGGGCACTCTCGTGCAACAGTAATATATACCTTACTACTGTAGCTATATCCCTGCAGAAAAATTTCTGGCAATGGAAATTTTAGCGGATTGACAGGACTTTTTAGCGGAAAAAATGGACGTTTTAGAGGAAAATTTGGGAACATTTTAGCGGACACTTTATAGGACAATTTATGGGAATTTAAAATAAGATGTGGACATTTTAGCGGGAGGGTTAAGTAATATAACATATATACCTCTTCCATTAGTTAGACTGTGCTGTCCCCTGTTCACAAACGGGGGGGGGGGGGGGGATAAAAGCTACATGTATCAGTTTGAATACGAGCCCGGTAGTTTTTTTTCAAAGAGCAACTCGGACGGAGAAACAGCATCAGATTCACGTATTCTATCAATATTATTAATTCTTTATTGAGACTCATCACAATTAATTTTTTTTCTTTAAAATTTTATTACATGTATGAATATTAGCTGTTAGTTTTATTCAGTTGAAAAGATATACCTTTAACATTGGGAAGTTAAATCCAGAAACTTAGCAATGAACTGGTCAATTTTTGCTGACTTCATATTAATTGTTTAAAAGAGTAGAATTTATCTCTGAAAAAAAATCCGCTAAAATGTCCATTGAATTTTTACAGGTAATTGATTTTTCTTGCGCTATAAAATGTGCTTTAAATTCACTAAAATGACGATTCACACCTTTGGCAACTCCGCTAAAATGTTCTTCGCCGAAAAATTTTACTATGAGTATGACGATGGTCCAAGTCAAAACAGAGGACAGGAGAACTAATACGATATACTAACACCTTACTGCGCATGCTTCATCACATACCGTGTGGTTTTGCTACGCTGCGTATCACGATGTTCTATTCTATAATGTTCAAACCCTACATAGAGAAATGTACCAAATGTCACCGACTACACATACCTCATTAATAATCATAGTTTGTCATAATTGGGTAGAAACCATAGATTTCTCTATTCTAAATGCTAGGGTATGGAATACTATAAGTGTACATGTATCTACCTTGTTTGAAATTTTCATTGAATCCGGCATAAATCAATGGATTCAGGGCACTGTTGGAGTAGGCCATTGTGTATGCAGCAAATTCAAACTTGTAATACCAGTCTCCCAGCTGTTAATGAAAAAGGATAAAATGCTTTCCAAAGTTATTGTAGAAATATTAAATATCATTTCAAAGTATTCCTTTCAAAAAAGGAGGGTCTCACGTAATAAGTTAAATAAATATAAAAATTCTGCATTTTTATAGATAATTAAATATTTGAATATATATTTCAATATTTAAAAATCTAAGAGGGTGTAATTCCGTTCAAAATCATTGAAATGAAGCGATATGCAAACTTGATTAAGGTATCCTCGCATACCAAAAAAAATCGGCTCAATATCTGCAAGCGTTTGAAAACCAAGTGGGACAGACTTATAAACGGAGATGAGGAGAAAACATATAGTCCCCTGCGGTCAAGGTCAAGAATACCTTCGCTTAGCCACTGGTTCTAGTGGTAGCAAATTCTCTACAAATTCTTCACAGACGTATGTCAAACAGAAAAAAACATAGTCAATGCACGTGTTGGAAACCATAAAGCATTGAGACATCTTCACTTATTAGATGCATGGACGATTTTTGTTTGCATCATTTTTCTCGTATGGAAAAAATGAGTTTATTTTGCTCAAATGCACAAAGGCCTCGGTGATTCTGAGAAGTAATGCTTTACAATAATACTTAGTGTGCGTATTTTTTTTTTTATACAGAGGACACACATTTTGCAAAGTATTCTTACTATTTTGTTTCCCGGTTATCCTAGTGGACTAGTCCGAGTTTGATATGTTTGGGAGTTAAAAATTCCTTGACAAGCAAAAAAAGAAAAAAAGGGGGGAATCCATTTCCCAAACGTTTTCAAAGGGGGGAAGGGGGTTCCAAAGTCATTTTTTATTTGCTTCAGTATATTCTTTTAATAACTCTGCGAATTCCAGGGGGAGGGGAGCCCCCTTATAGATCCGCGCATTTTATATTTTCCATAGATATTGTTTGCTTAAGTCAGGCAGGTTTCTGAAAAGCTATTACTTGTAGTGACTTAACTTGCACGGATATTGCATGTAGAGATGTACATTACACGACATGCTTAGAATCTGGATCTGACCTAAATTTTCTGGATGATTGGCCATTTTAAAGTTTTTGGAACAGCTCCATTCTCAAGTAACGATAAGTTCCGTTGTGACCAAACTTGCACGGATATTGCATGGAGGGTGAACACATCAAGAAATGCCTAGAATGCTGTTATGACCTACATTTTCCAGATGAGTGACCAGAAGAAAGATTTTAGAGCAGGTGGAGATTTTTAAGCAGGTCCATTTAACTGTCAACCCTATGTTGTCCAAACATGCATGAATGAATCATCTACCAGACTTGCTTTTATTTTAAATTTAAGTTTTTGTCGATCGGAGTAGGGGCTGGGGATATAAATCATATTCAAGGAGGTTAGATACATCTGGCTGGAAGTGAAAAATATTTACATCATTTCTGTCTAACCTTGCTTCTGTTGCCCCTGAGTTCTGTATAGAGTAACATAACCTGACACGGTAGCCAGCATATGCAGAACACAGCTAGGATGGTAATCAACATAATAATTATCTGGAAAAAAAAACAAAAAATATATACTTGTACTTGTTGGCAAGTAAATAATGCTAAAATGTTATTGATGGTCACGTTTTTATCTGAACAATAGGCCCAGGGGCCACATCGCTCACCTGAGCACTATGGCTAGGGAAAAGCAGAAAATTAATCAGTGCAGAACTGAAAAGTATACTGAAACGCAAAAGAAACGTAACATCCTATTTTAGGGGGAAATATTATATATAGAATATAATTTTGTATCTAAAAAGTTAGGACATCTTTGTAAATGTCGGTAATTTAACGGTTGAATGAATGACCATTATCGGAAGTTAACTTTGAGTCCGCTTAACAGAAATCAAAAATTGCATGTTTAACAAAATATTTGGCAATAATATGGGATTTTAAGGGTTGGTATCTTTTTATCACAAGTAATGAAGCAATATTCCGAAAAATAAATTTTTCTTTCTTTTCCGTAAGTGATGCCAAGGCTTCCTGAAAATGACGTCAGTACGCATTTCCATTGCTCTAGCTGGAAAATCTCAAAATAAAGGTGATGGAGAGTTGCAGATGCAAAGATGCACTACATCACGCCTCAAGAGGCTCTTACCTATCATTAGCATGAATGATTAGTCCTGAACCGAAAGTCCAAGGGTTACTACACTGCGCTAGGCTAGAGAAAATTCGACCTTGACATCTGAAAAACGGGCATTTGAAAATGGCAAAGAATATTTCTTTCGCCCAGATCTCTAGAAAGATAAACCTATTGCATCGTAGAAATCAAGCTGCAATTGTTGTGCATGGCAGTCTCTCACGCTGTAATTGAATGGCCGAGGTGGGGGATGTTTAAACAGTCATGTGTTACTTTCTAAGGTTAAAAGATAATCATTTAACATTTTTATCAAATCTCTGATGTTTTTAAATCGTGTTTTACCTCACAGTATTCATTTTTGAAAATCACTGGATAAAGAATTCAAGAATTTGTAGATTACTGCTTGTTGTGTTTCTTTTGCGTTTCAGTATATAAATATGACCAATCACAGCTTTGCTGTTCTCGAGAAGATTTTTAAAGATTTTTCCTAGGTATTCCTTTGTAAAACTTTGATCGCCCATTGTGGCCCCACCCTACCCCCGGGGTCATGATTTGAACAAACTTGAATCTACCCTACCTGAGGATGCTTCCATATAAATATGACCAATCATGGCTTTTATGTTCTTGAGAAAGAATTTTTTAAAGATTTTTCCTATGTATTCCTATGTAAAACTTTGATAATCCATTATGGCCCCACCCTACCCCCGGGGGTCATGATATGAAAAAAAAATTTGAATCTACACTACCTGATGATGCTTCGATATAAATCATGGCTTTGCTGTTCTTGAGAAGAAGATTTTTAAAGGTTCTCCCTATATATTCATAAGTAAAACTTTGACTGCCCTTTGTGGCCCACCCTACCCCCGGGGGTCATGATTTGAACAAACTTAAATCTACACTACCTAAGGATGCTTCCATATAAATATGACCAATCACAGCTTTGCTGTTCTCAAGAAGATTTCTAAAGATATTTCCTATTTATTCCTATGTAAAACTTTGATCAACCATTGTGGCCCCACCGTGCCCCCGGGGGTTGTGATTTGAACAAAGAGGGTGTTGCAGTTCTTTTGTTATTTTCCCTAAAGTTGTTTAAAAGAAAAATTTTGAGTAACAGAAAACGGTCTTAAATTTTTTTCCAGATACAACGGTACATACAGCACAATGTAGAACAATATTTCGAAACTGCATATCGACTTCCAATTTGCCATTAAATGAAATGTAAATTAGTCACATAATAAAATAAGTCAAGTTTTCTGTTTTTCCAATAGGGAATCCCCATTGTTCTGAAAAATTGCCTCCTTGAAACAGGATGAATTTTTAAATAAACATAAAGAGACAGGATTTTTCTGCAAAACTGCCATTTCCGATTTTTGTTTCAAAGAGGCATATTTTTGAAAATCACAAAAATCGAATAAAAATTATTATCCATCCGAAATGCAAAATGTGCACATAAAATAGCAGATAATACATCATTGTCGGAGCTGGTCTAGTGGTAAAGCGTATGGACTCTATGCAAATATCCTTTTACCTGAGAATGGGTTCGAATCCTGGAATGGCTGGTATATACATTTTTTTCTTATAGAATGGAAGTACAATGTAACATCTCTCTTGAGAGAGAAAGAGAGAGGGAGGGTATGTTAGAAAGTTAATTGGTGTTTTAAATGCATGCAGAATTCAATTGTTTGCCTTGATATTGTGATCTAAAGCTAAAAAAACCCACATATTTAATGTTATTATTAGTGGCGATGTCTTAAAAAAATAAAGTACTATCATTTTAAATAATTTAATTTTTTCATACACATTTTTATATATTTTAAAATATTAACGCACGCTGTCTACAGTACATCTTTCAAAATGATGTGTGAGGTGCACTTGCCATTAATTGTGCTTTGTATCGTTCTAACTTTTCTAGTGCAATATGGCGACAGTGACCATAGATGTGAAAAAAGTTTACTTACAGGTCGCCAGTCTATGCTAGAAAAAAACTATGCATGAAATAAACGTAAATGCGAAATGTTTTGTTATAACAAGCTGGACATACCCGTCGTATAAATAAAGTCATCTACGTAGCATTATCTATATTTAGAGATAACTCTTCATGCGTCGTGGGTATTTAAATGTCCTTCTCGATTTAGGGAATAATCTCGAGTTTCTGCAACACCCTCTTTGAATCTGCACTACCTGAGGATGCTTCCGTATAAATATGACCAATCACAGCTTTTGCTGTTCTTGAGAAGATTTTAAAGATTTTTTCCTATGTAAAACTTTGATCCCCCATTGTGGCCCCACCCTACCCCAGGGGTCTTGATTTGAACAAATTTGAATCTACACTATGTGAAGGTTTCACATAAGTTTCAACTTTTTCAGCCCAGTGGTTCTTTAGCAGAAGATTTTTAAATGATACCACCAAACTTTCACTAATTCTAAATTATCTCCCCTTGAAATTTGCCTTTCATTTGAACAAACTTGAATCCCCTTTACCCAAGGGTTTGGTTGTAATTGGCCCAGTGGTTCTGGAGAAGAAGTCGAAAATGTTAAAAGTTTACAGACGGGCGGACAAAATGTGATCAGAAAAGCTCACTTGAGCTTTCAGCTCAGATGAGCTAAAAATGGAGTATGTTCAGCTAGGTTACGGATACATTGGTTATATATTGAAGAATATTTAATGTGTATCTTTCAAAACCACATTTGAAAATTGAATTATAATGCCATAATTCATACGTGCTTTTTTTATATAACACAGATTTGTGGTCCCTCGCTTTCGGGGTCTTGTCAGTAGGGGTGCATTTGATCTATGGAACATTTAATCGGACTTGTCTGCCCTATTTTGCCTGTCCTTCATGCCTTTTGGATTTTGAAATATTTTCTGCCTTTAAGCTACGATCAAGGTTAAAGTCCAAAAATAGCTCTTCGGAGCTAATAAATCTACACTTATAAATTAACAAACTTTGCAAATAAACTCCGAAACGGGTGCTTTAGACTTCTTACTAACTCCTCTAAGAATACACTATATGCAAGATGATGTCCGTAAACTATATTTAGATTTCACTCGCATAGTAAGTATCGTGCATTAAATTAAAAGTCTACTTTCATTTTCTATGAACAGCCATGAAATAGCAGAAACGTGAGTACGGTGGCGTTTCCGGTTGGCGGATCTAAGTTACTGGCAATTTTTAATGAAACTGACAACAAGCGATCGTTTATTTATTTCATAAAACGTCATCACTGAATTATTCAGTCAAAACTTGATTTAACTGATATTAAAGAAATAAGTTGTGATAACCGATTAAAAAGGGGAACGTGCAAGTTGTTTTCGTCATTCACCGATCGTAATATTGACGGAAGCTTCTAGAACATCATATAGCATCGAGCCCGATGTTAAAAAGAAAAACGAGGCGATCAAAAAAAAAGCTTTTGTGTGAATGGTCTTCCAAATAATGGTACATCATTGATAGCACTATAAGATGTGAATATATTTATATATCGAAAGACTATTACATATATGTAGTAGGTTTTACTAATAAATTTATCGGTAAAATTTGTATATATTCCATGGGATTTTTTTTTTTTAAAAGATATGTTAAAAAAAAATAAAGTTCAGTTTTTACATATCAATAAGGTATATACATATTTATAAACCAAGACCCAAGTGTACCTGTGAATTTTTACTATAAAAAAAATCACATTTATCAGTAAAATATGCACATTCGCTGCTTTTATTCTTGACGGAAATGAAATATGAGCATCTGAAGTACAATATCCATAACATAGTATTTATAACAGGTTTCACAATAAACGTCAATTAATGAAATTATTATTTAAGTTCTACAAAAAAGGGGGGTTGGGGGTTGGAGACGTACATTTACATGTACTTCATGCGGGATTTTGAACAAAGTATTTCTTCTGCTACAAGCCTGTATCCTGTCAGTAGAAACTACAATATAGTTATATACTATTGGAATTTTTCTGTCGGTAGTGGTATAAATTTGATTCCCCGCGCTTGCGCGGGATTTCATCTAGTATTATCTTAATTTATAGGTATTTCTTTATGAAAATTAATTAAATTTTGACAATTTTGGCATATAGCATCTATGAGTGAAGGGAAACAAAAATTGTGAATTTCATGGTCCCTGCCCCCCCCCCCCCGCCCTGGGGCCTTAGGGGTGGGGCCAAAACCATCAAAGTGAGTGCAATCTTGAAAAATCTTCTTTACTCGTCGCCCGCGTGGCGCAGTGCTTAGAGCGTCAGCTCTAAAGTCGCGAAGTAAGGAGTTGATCCTTACGTTGCGGGTTCGAATCCCACTGCGAGACGTGGAGACCGGTCTTACGGATGAGACTGTTTAAACCGAGGTCCCGTTTCGCAGTAGGTGCTGGCACGAAAAGGATCCCACACTGCTCAATGGCCCTGAGTGCCGAGTATAGGTCAAAAT